CCCTGGCCTGGTGGCTAGGGTGTAGTGTCCCTAGTCTGGTGGCTAGGGTGTTGTGTCCCTGGCCTGGTGGCTAGGGTGTAGTGTCCCTAGTCTGGTGGCTAGGGTGTAGTGTCCCTAGTCTGGTGGCTAGGGTGTAGTGCCTCCGGCCTGGTGGCTAGGGTGTAGTGTCCCTGGCCTGGTGGCTAGGGTGTAGTGTCCCTGGTCTGGCGGCTAGGGTGTAGTGTCCCTAGTCTGGTGGCTAGGGTGTAGTGTCCCTGGCCTGGTGGCTAGGGTGTAGTGTCCCTGGTCTGGTGGCTAGGGTGTAGTGTCCCTGGCCTGGTGGCTAGGGTGTAGTGTCCCTGGCCTGGTGGCTAGGGTGTAGTGTCCCTGGCCTGGTGGCTAGGGTGTAGTGTCTCTGGCCTGGTGGCTAGGGTGTTGTGTCCCTGGCCTGGTGGCTAGGGTGTTGTGTCCCTGGCCTGGTGGCTAGGGTGTAGTGTCTCTGGCCTGGTGGCTAGGGTGTAGTGTCCCTGGCCTGGTGGCTAGGGTGGTGTAGTGTCCCTGGCCTGGTGGCTGGGGTGTCGTGTCCCTGGCCTGCTGGCTAGGGTGGTGTAGTGTCCCTGGCCTGGTGGCTAGGGTGTAGTGTCCCTGGCCTGGTGGCTAGGGTGTAGTGTCCCTGGCCTGGTGGCTAGGGTGTTGTGTCCCTGGCCTGGTGGCTAGGGTGTAGTGTCCCTGGCCTGGTGAATAGGGTGTTGTGTCCCTTGCCTGGTGGCTAGGGTGGTGTAGTGTCCCTGGCCTGGTGGCTAGGGTGTTGTGTCCCTGGCCTGGTGGCTAGGGTGTTGTGTCCCTGGCCTGGTGGCTAGGGTGTAGTGTCCCTGGCCTGGTGGCTAGGGTGTGGTGTCCCTGGCCTGGTGGCTAGGGTGGTGTTGTCGTGAGGAACAAGGAGAAGTGTGCCACTGAAGGTTGGCAGCACATGAACACAAGTGTCCGTGGCCCCAGTGCCAGACACGCCGCCACCTCGTGCTTGACCCCCCCCTCCCCCCCCTCCACTGTTGTGCCCCCTCCCTCTCCCCCCTCCCATCCCCTACCGCTCCCCCTCCCCCCTCCGACAATCACCAACCCTTTCTCCTCGCCAGCTCTCATCATTCACTCTCTCTTCCTTACTGTATGTTACCTCCCTTTCTCACTTAAAACACTATGCTTTATCACCACCATGCTCAGTCAACACCATGCTCAGTCAACACCATGCTCAGTCAACACCATGCTCAGTTAGCACCATGCTCAGTTATCACCATGCTCAGTTAACACCATGTTCAGTTAACACCATGCTCAGTCAACACCATGCTCTGTCAACACCATGCTCAGTCACCACCATGCTCAGTTATCACCATGCTCAGTCAACACCATGTTCAGTTAACACCATGCTCAGTCAACACCATGCTCTGTCAACACCATGCTCAGTCACCACCATGCTCTGTCAACACCATGCTCAGTCACCACCATGCTCAGTTATCACCATGCTCAGTTAACACCATGTTCAGTTAACACCATCCTCAGTCAACACCATGCTCAGTCAACACCATGCTCAGTCACCACCATACTCAGTCAACACCATACTCAGTCAACACCATACTCAGTCAACACCATGCTCAGTCAACACCATGCTCAGTCACCACCATACTCAGTCAACACCATACTCAGTCAACACAACTCAGTCAACGCCATACTCAGTCAACACTATACTCAGTCAACACCATTCTCAGTCAACACCATGCTCAGTCAACACCATACTCAGTCAACACCATGCTCAGTCAACACCATACTCAGTCAACACCATACTCAGTCAACACAACTCAGTCAACGCCATAATCAGTCAACACAACTCAGTCAACACCATGCTCAGTCAACACAACTCAGTCAACACCATGCTCAGTCTACACAACTCAGTCAACGCCATAATCAGTCAACACAACTCAGTCAACACCATACTCAGTCAACACAACTCAGTCAACACCATACTCAGTCAACACAACTCAGTCAACACCATGCTCAGTCAACACAACTCAGTCAACATCATACTCATTCAACACAACTCAGTCAACACAACTCAGTCAACACCATACTCAGTCAACACAACTCAGTCAACACCATACTCAGTCAACACAACTCAGTCAACACCATACTCAGTCAACACAACTCAGTCAACACCATACTCAGTCAACACCATACTCAGTCAACACCATGCTCAGTCAACACCATGCTCAGTCAACACCATACTCAGTCAACACCATACTCAGTCAACACAACTCAGTCAACACCATACTCAGTCAACACCATACTCAGTCAACACCATACTCAGTCAACACAACTCAGTCAACACCATACTCAGTCAACACCATACTTAGTCAACACCATACTCAGTCAACACCATGCTCAGTCAACACCATACTCAGTCAACACCATGCTCACTCAACACCATACTCAGTCAACAAAATACTCAGTCAACACAACTCAGTCAACACCATCCTCAGTCAACACAACTCAGTCAACACCGTACTCAGTCAACACCATACTCAGTCAACACCATGCTCAGTCAACACCATGCTCAGTCAACACCATACTCAGTCAACGCCATACTCAGTCAACACCATGCTCACTCAACACCATACTCAGTCAACACCATACTCAGTCAACACAACTCAGTCAACACCATACTCAGTCAACACAACTCATTCAACACCATACTCAGTCAACACCATACTCAGTCAACACCACGCGCAGTCAACACCATGCTCAGTCAACACCATACTCAGTCAACGCCATACTCAGTCAACACAACTCAGTCAACACCATACTCAATCAACGCAACTCAGTCAACACCATACTCAATCAACGCAAATCAGTCAACACCATGCTCAGTCAACACAACTCAGTCAATGCCATACTCAGTCAACACAACTCAGTCAACACAACTCAGTCAACACCATACTCAGTCAACACAACTCAGTCAACACAACTCAGTCAACACTATACTCAGTCAACACAACTCAGTCAACACCATACTCAGTCAACACCTTGCTCAGTCAACACCATGCTCAGTCAACACCATACTCAGTCAACACCATACTCAGTCAACACAACTCAGTCAACACCATACTCAGTCAACACCATACTCAGTCAAGACCATACTCAGTCAACACCATACTCAGCCAACACCATACTCAGTCAACACCATACTCAGTCAACACCATGCTCAGTCAACACCATACTCAGTCAACACCATACTCAGTCAACACAACTCAGTCAACGCCATAATCAGTCAACACAACTCAGTCAACACCATGCTCAGTCAACACAACTCAGTCAACACCATGCTCAGTCTACACAACTCAGTCAACGCCATAATCAGTCAACACAACTCAGTCAACACCATACTCAGTCAACACAACTCAGTCAACACCATACTCAGTCAACACAACTCAGTCAACACCATGCTCAGTCAACACAACTCAGTCAACACCATACTCAGTCAACACAACTCATTCAACACAACTCAGTCAACACAATACTCAGTCAACACAACTCAGTCAACACCATACTCAGTCAACACAACTTAGTCAACACCATACTCAGTCAACGCAACTCAGTCAACACCATGCTCAGTCAACACAACTCAGTCAACACCATACGCAGTCAACACAACTCAGTCAACACCATACTCAGTCAACACAACTCAGTCAACACCATACTCATTCAACACCATACTCAGTCAACACCATGCTCAGTCAACACCATGCTCAGTCAACACCATACTCAGTCAACACCATACTCAGTCAACAGAACTCAGTCAACACCATACTCAGTCAACACCATACTCAATCAACACAACTCAGTCAACACCATACTCAGTCAACACCATACTTAGTCAACACCATACTCAGTCAACACCATGCTTAGTCAACACCATACTCAGTCAACACCATGCTCACTCAACACCATACTCAGTCAACACCATACTCAGTCAACACAACTCAGTCAACACCATCCTCAGTCAACACAACTCAGTCAACACCATACTCAGTCAACACCATACTCAGTCAACACCATACTCAGTCAACACCATACTCAGTCAACACCATGCTCAGTCAACACCATGCTCAGTCAACACCATACTCAGTCAACACCATACTCAGTCAACAGAACTCAGTCAACACCATACTCAGTCAACACAACTCAGTCAACACCATACTCAGTCAACACCATACTCAGTCAACACCATGCTCAGTCAACACCATGCTCAGTCAACACCATACTCAGTCAACGCCATACTCAGTCAACATAACTCAGTCAACACCATACTCAGTCAACGCAACTCAGTCAACACCAAACTCAGTCAACGCAACTCAGTCAACACCATGCTCAGTCAACACAACTCAGTCAATGCCATACTCAGTCAACACAACTCAGTCAACACAACTCAGTCAAGACCATACTCAGTCAACACAACTCAGTCAACACAACTCAGTCAACACCATGCTCAGTCAACACCATGCTCAGTCAACACCATGCTCAGTCAACACCATGCTCAGTCAACACCATGCTCAGTCAACACCATACTCAGTCAACACCATACTCAGTCAACACAACTCAGTCAACACCATACTCAGTCACCACCATACTCAGTCAACACCATACTCAGTCAACACAACTCAGTCAACGCCATACTCAGTCAACACCATACTCAGTCAACACCATGCTCAGTCAACACCATGCTCAGTCAACACCATACTCAGTCAACACCATGCTCAGTCAACACCATACTCAGTCAACACCATACTCAGTCAATACCATACTCAGTCAACACCATGCTCAGTCAACACGATGCTCAGTCAACACCATACTCAGTCAACACCATGCTCAGTTAACACTATACCCACACATGATAAACTAACAAAAGTTTTAACTGAAGCGAAGTTTATCAGAGCCTTGGGGCGAGACTTGGTGAGTCCCTTCATGTCTAAACGATGTCCACTACCTCCTGCAGCCACCTCCGAGCTCACATACCTCTTACAGCCACCTCCGAGCTCACATACCTCTTACAGCCACCTCCGAGCTCACATACCTCTTACAGCCACCTCCGAGCTCACTACCTCTTACAGCCACCTCCGAGCTCACATACCTCTTACAGCCACCTCCGAGCTCACATACCTCTTACAGCCACCTCCGAGCTCACATACCTCTTACAGCCACCTCCGAGCTCACATACCTCTTACAGCCACCTCCGAGCTCACATACCTCTTACAGCCACCTCCGAGCTCACATACCTCTTACAGCCACCTCCGAGCTCACATACCTCTTACAGCCACCTCCGAGCTCACATACCTCTTACAGCCACCTCCGAGCTCACTACCTCTTACAGCCACCTCCGAGCTCACTACTTCTTACAGCCACCTCCGAGCTCAGTACCTCCTGCAGCCACCTCCAAGCTCACATACCTCTTACAGCCACCTCCGAGCTCACTACCTCTTACAGCCACCTCCGAGCTCACATACCTCTTACAGCCACCTCCGAGCTCACATACCTCTTACAGCCACCTCCGAGCTCACTACCTCTTACAGCCACCTCCGAGCTCACATACCTCTTACAGCCACCTCCGAGCTCACTACCTCTTACAGCCACCTCCGAGCTCACTACTTCTTACAGCCACCTCCGAGCTCAGTACCTCCTGCAGCCACCTCCGAGCTCACATACCTCTTACAGCCACCTCCGAGCTCACTACCTCTTACAGCCACCTCCGAGCTCACTACTTCTTACAGCCACCTCCGAGCTCAGTACCTCCTGCAGCCACCTCCGAGCTCAGTACCTCCTGCAGCCACCTCCGAGCTCACATACCTCTTACAGCCACCTCCGAGCTCACTACCTCTTACAGCCACCTCCGAGCTCACTACCTCTTACAGCCACCTCCGAGCTCACTACTTCTTACAGCCACCTCCGAGCTCAGTACCTCCTGCAGCCACCTCCGAGCTCACTACCTCTTACAGCCACCTCCGAGCTCACTACCTCCTACAGCCACCTCCGAGCTCACTACCTCTTACAGCCACCTCCGAGCTCACTACCTCTTACAACCACCTCCGAGCTCACTACCTCTTACAGCCACCTCCGAGCTCACTACTTCTTACAGCCACCTCCGAGCTCAGTACCTCCTGCAGCCACCTCCGAGCTCACTACCTCTTACAGCCACCTCCGAGCTCACTACCTCTTACAGCCACCTCCGAGCTCACTACCTCTTACAGCCACCTCCGAGCTCACTACCTCTTACAGCCACCTCCGAGCTCAGTACCTCCTGCAGCCACCTCCGAGCTCACTACCTCTTACAGCCACCTCCGAGCTCACTACCTCTTACAGCCACCTCCGAGCTCAGTACCTCTTACAGCCACCTCCGAGCTCACTACCTCCTGCAGCCACCTCTGAGCTCACTACCTCTTACAGCCACCTCCGAGCTCACTACCTCTTACAGCCACCTCCGAGCTCACTACCTCTTACAGCCACCTCCGAGCTCACTACCTCTTACAGCCACCTCCGAGCTCAGTACCTCCTGCAGCCACCTCCGAGCTCACTACCTCTTACAGCCACCTCCGAGCTCAGTACCTCCTGCAGCCACCTCCGAGCTCACTACCACTTACAGCCACCTCCGAGCTCACTACCTCCTGCAGCCACCTCTGAGCTCACTACCTCCTGCAGCCACCTCCGAGCTCACTACCTCTTACAGCCACCTCCGAGCTCAGTACCTCCTGCAGCCACCTCCGAGCTCACTACCTCTTACAGCCACCTCTGAGCTCACTACCTCTTACAGCCACCTCCGAGCTCAGTATCTCCTGCAGCCACCTCCGAGCTCACTACCTCTTACAGCCACCTCAGAGCTCACTACCTCTTACAGCCACCTCCGAGCTCACTACCTCCTGCAGCCACCTCCGAGCTCAGTACCTCCTGCAGCCACCTCCGAGCTCACTACCTCTTACAGCCACCTCCGAGCTCACTACCTCCTGCAGCCACCTCCGAGCTCAGTACCTCCTGCAGCCACCTCCGAGCTCACTACCTCCTGCAGCCACCTCCGAGCTCACTACCTCTTACAGCCACCTCCGAGCTCAGTACCTCCTGCAGCCACCTCCGAGCTCACTACCTCCTGCAGCCACCTCCGAGCTCAGTACCTCCTGCAGCCACCTCCGAGCTCACTACCTCTTACAGCCACCTCCGAGCTCAGTACCTCCTGCAGCCACCTCCGAGCTCACTACCTCTTACAGCCACCTCCGAGCTCAGTACCTCCTGCAGCCACCTCCGAGCTCACTACCTCTTACAGCCACCTCCGAGCTCACTACCTCCTGCAGCCACCTCTGAGCTCGCTACCTCCTGCAGCCACCTCCGAGCTCACTACCTCTTACAGCCTCCTCCGAGCTCAGTACCTCCTGCAGCCACCTCCGAGCTCACTACCTCTTACAGCCACCTCTGAGCTCACTACCTCTTACAGCCACCTCCGAGCTCAGTATCTCCTGCAGCCACCTCCGAGCTCACTACCTCTTACAGCCACCTCAGAGCTCACTACCTCTTACAGCCACCTCCGAGCTCACTACCTCTTACAGCCACCTCAGAGCTCACTACCTCTTACAGCCACCTCCGAGCTCACTACCTCCTGCAGCCACCTCCGAGCTCAGTACCTCCTGCAGCCACCTCCGAGCTCACTACCTCTTACAGCCACCTCCGAGCTCACTACCTCCTGCAGCCACCTCCGAGCTCAGTACCTCCTGCAGCCACCTCCGAGCTCACTACCTCCTGCAGCCACCTCCGAGCTCACTACCTCTTTCAGCCACCTCCGAGCTCAGTACCTCCTGCAGCCACCTCCGAGCTCACTACCTCCTGCAGCCACCTCCGAGCTCAGTACCTCCTGCAGCCACCTCCGAGCTCACTACCTCTTACAGCCACCTCCGTGCTCAGTACCTCCTGCAGCCACCTCCGAGCTCACTACCTCCTGCAGCCACCTCCGAGCTCACTACCTCTTACAGCCACCTCCGAGCTTACTACCTCCTGCAGCCACCTCCGAGCTCACTACCTCTCACAGCCACCTCCGAGCTCACTACCTCCTGCAGCCACCTCCGAGCTCACTACCTCCTGCAGCCACCTCCGAGCTCAGTACCTCCTGCAGCCACCTCCGAGCTCAGTACCTCCTGCAGCCACCTCCGAGCTCACTACCTCCTGCAGCCACCTCCGAGCTCACTACCTCTCACAGCTACCTCCGAGCTCACTACCTCCTGCAGCCACCTCCGAGCTCAGTACCTCCTGCAGCCACCTCCGAGCTCACTACCTCTCACAGCCACCTCCGAGCTCACTACCTCTTACAGCCACCTCCGAGCTCACTACCTCCTGCAGCCACCTCAGAGCTCACTACCTCTTACAGCCACCTCCGAGCTCAGTACCTCCTGCAGCCACCTCCGAGCTCACTACCTCCTGCAGCCACCTCCGAGCTCACTACCTCTCACAGCCACCTCCGAGCTCACTACCTCCTGCAGCCACCTCCGAGCTCAGTACCTCCTGCAGCCACCTCCGAGCTCACTATCTCCTGCAGCCACCTCCGAGCTCACTACCTCTCACAGCCACCTCCGAACTCACTACCTCCTGCAGCCACCTCCGAGCTCAGTACCTCCTGCAGCCACCTCCGAGCTCACTACCTCTCACAGCCACCTCCGAGCTCACTACCTCTTACAGCCACCTCCGAGCTCACTACCTCTTACAGCCACCTCCGAGCTCACTACCTCTTACAGCCACCTCCGAGCTCACTACCTCTCACAGCCACCTCCGAGCTCACTACCTCTTACAGCCACCTCCGAGCTCACTACCTCATACAGCCACCTCCGAGCTCACTACCTCTTACAGCCACCTCCGAGCTCACTACCTCTTACAGCCACCTCCGAGCTCACTACCTCTTACAGCCACCTCCGAGCTCTCTACCTCTCACAGCCACCTCCGAGCTCACTACCACTTACAGCCACCTCCGAGCTCACTACCTCTTACAGCCACCTCCGAGCTCATTACCTCTTACAGCCACCTCCGAGCTCACTACCTCTTACAGCCACCTCCGAGCTCACTACCTCTTACAGCCACCTCCGAGCTCACTACCTCTTACAGCCACCTCCGAGCTCACTACCTCTTACAGCCACCTCCGAGCTCACTACCTCCTGCAGCCACCTCCGAGCTCACTACCTCATGCAGCCACCTCCGAGCTCACAGCTCCTGGCCGCTAGTCTGGAAGAAGGCGAGGGGCTGTAGCTGTCCGTCACAGTGTCAAGCAGGAAACCTACATGTCACCAGCCTGACAGTCAGTCGCTGGGAAGATCTTTACAAAATTATTTTTGTGAGAGGCCATAAAAATCCCGTTCTTTTTTTCAGCTTCCAACTTGGTTTCGGTGATTAATGAAGTTCATTATATTTGCTACTGCAGCTGACCACAACATGAAACAAGAGTCACCTATGGACGGGATATATATGTCACGGTCTTGGCTGTGTCTCAAACATGTAAGTCAACACCACACACGGCCCTACATGTATAGAAGACAAGTGTGCGGAGCCTAATAAGAGACGTGCAGTATACGGGGATCTTCTGAACCACATTAACACCTAAAGTAACCGAAGGTTCCAAGAACATGACCATGCCACAGAGGGGAGTGGCCCTCAGGGTCCTCCTGGGAACATGCCACAGAGGGGAGTCGCCCTCAGGGCCCTCCTGGGAACATGCCACTGACGGGAGTGGCCCTCAGGGTCCTCCTGGGAACATGCCACTGACGGGAGTGGCCCTCAGGGTCCTCCTGGGAACATGCCACTGACGGGAGTCGCCCTCAGGGCCCTCCTGGGAACATGCCACTGACGGGAGTGGCCCTCAGGGTCCTCCTGGGAACATGCCACTGACGGGAGTGCCCCTCAGGGTCCTCCTGGGAACATGCCACTGACGGGAGTGGCCCTCAGGGCCCTCCTGGGAACATGCCACTGACGGGAGCCGCCCTCAGGGCCCTCCTGGGAACATGCCACTGACGGGAGTGGCCCTCAGGGTCCTCCTGGGAACATGCCACTGACGGGAGTGCCCCTCAGGGTCCTCCTGGGAACATGCCACTGACGGGAGTGGCCCTCAGGGCCCTCCTGGGAACATGCCACTGACGGGAGTGGCCCTCAGGGCCCTCCTGGGAACATGCTACAGAGGGGAGTGGCCCTCAGGGCCAGAGGCCACTAACTATTATTAGCCAAGAAACAAGGTGTAAGTCACATAAATAAAACACTTAACACTGTGTTATCTTGGGGCCAAGGGTGGCTAGTTATTGTTGCTTCAGATAACTCGGCTGACGCTGCGTCACGCAGATAAACAGATATCTTCATGCCATGAGGTATGCAAACTCATGAACATTTTTGGCAAAAAAAAAAATTACCAAAGTGGAAATTTTTTTGTCCAATTTGGACAAAATCTGGGCCAAATTGGACAAAAAAGAACTTACTCTCTTTGGACAAAATTTCAGATAAGACTGTGCATGTGGTGAGAAGCAGAGTTAATGTCCCGGGCCCAATAGTGTACATGCAGACTCTCCAGGAGAGCAGACATGTGTCTGGTCTGCGTGTACACTGCTGTCTTCTCCTCACGCTCCTCTCAAAGTTTTCAAAGTCAAAGTGTTCAAAGTTGCTAAATTTGTTAAATTTTCCCTGGTTGCTCCAGTTTGTAAATGTTCCCTGGCTGCTCCAGTTTGTAAATGTTCCCTGGCTGCTCCAGTTTGTAAATGTTCCCTGGCTGCTCCAGTTTGTAAATGTTCCCTGGCTGCTCCAGTTTGTAAATGTTCCCTGGTTGCTCCAGTTTGTAAATGTTCCCTGGCTGCTCCAGTTTGTAAATGTTCCCTGGCTGCTCCAGTTTGTAAATGTTCCCTGGCTGCTCCAGTTTGTAAATGTTCCCTGGTTGCTCCAGTTTGTAAATGTTCCCTGGCTGCTCCAGTTTGTAAATGTTCCCTGGCTGATCCAGTTTGTAAATGTTCCCTGGCTGCTCCAGTTTGTAAATGTTCCCTGGCTGCTCCAGTTTGTAAATGTTCCCTGGCTGCTCTACTCCCGAGTACATATATTCCAAGGCTATTGAGCAACCTTGAACACACACATGAACACTTGGGTAACCTTGAACATATGAACACTTGGGTAACCTTGAACATATCAACACTTGGGTAACCTTGTGTTCATGTGACCCACATTGAACCGTCACGTGAAAGGAATTATGTTACGGCCACAATGGGTCGCAACCGCGTTCTTTTCTGGTGGTACTGTAACACCCATGACCTCCCCCCCCCCCTTAGAGTTCACACCCAGGACCTTCCCCCCCTTAGAGTTCACACCCAGGGAAGCCTTCTCCAAGAGGTCAGCCCAGATGACCTCCGGTTTATCTTGTATATTAATTAAAAATTCCTGGGTTAGTCTTAGTCAGCATAGTTTCAAGTATGTAATATTTCATGCAAGGGAATTAGACTCCAGATTCTTATGTGTAAACATCCCTGGATCTCCCCCTTTTGGTCAGGTCAGAGGTCAGTCACACAAGTAATTAATAACTCCTCTCTTGAAGAGTGTATGGTGAATGTCAAACAAGCTTATTGAAATATTTCTTGAGTGTTTGTACATTCTTGGTGGGTAGCAACAGCAGATCTCCCCCTCCCCCTGTGGGGGTTGTATATAGAGGTCCTGTAGGGACTTAGTAAAGACAGAGTGCCGGACACCGGGGTCCAGAGAGGGCTGTGAAGAACATCTCAGCCAGGGAGAGACAGAGGTCTTAAGGTAATGTGTGTGATCTCTGAGGTTTTGTTCCATGTCCAAATTACTTAAATTTTTGCCAGTGTTAGAGTAGGATTTATAAGTGGTGATTGACATAATTTTGGTCTCAATAAAACTCATGTTAAATTTCCCGTCTGTGTCAATTGTTGAATCCTCTTAACCTTTTGGATATAGTGGCTGACAACCGTTTCCATAATTAATGAGTCATAGAAAGTACTCTCCAAGTCAAGCAATGTTTCTTGCCTCGTTGCTTGATATAGTCTCAATGGTCAAAGGCAGATGGTGGCAGCGTATTTCATCCTGTGTTAGCATCTCCTTGTTGGCAGTGTACTTTGTAGTCCCGGTGTAACCATCATATGTCAGCCCATAACAGTGTTACCAAGTGCAACCAATGGGGAAGTGTTACTCAGGATAAGTAGTGTTTACTTTATTAGTTTAGTGTTCCATTATAGTGGTGTTCCATTATAGTGGTGCAGTAGAGTGGTGTTACAAAAGAGCGGTGTTACAGTACTAAAGTTCTGGTATCCGGCTCCATGTTAGTAGTGGCTTTCAAGGAGTGAGCTCGGTAATGCAAGTACAACAAAAAGGGGGTGCATTAAATACGACACTGCATTGATTATCCGTATATTCACATATATAATTAATTTCCCATCACCGCATGTATATAGTCCTAACAGAAGTATTTCTACACTTTATATGTACAAAAAGTGTCTTTCATGGAACACTATGCGCAATCCATAGTACTATCCTCAGCAGGTACCGGGAAACAACAACGAGTCTACCCTGGCCACGGGCCAGCCAAACCACAGTCTCACTACGTGCTTCCTCGTGAATGCCCACAACCACAGTCCAGCCTGGTGCTGGCAGATACCACCAGCCTCACGCTGCTGGGCCACTTCATGTGCAAATACTAGGGTAGCAAGCCCTAGGCAGGAGCTTCGTGCAACTCGCTGGTTACTCTCCTCTTCACCACCTTAGTCAGTCGTCTCTTCTGTTAGCCAGCCCCGGGTACGGCAAATCCTGTCCCTGCCACTCCACAGGCAGACAGTAGCACACTTCACAGTTCTTCTCTGGCGGCGGCTCACTGCTTCCGTAAAGCAGACTGGTGTAGAGACCTTGGCTGCCCTGGGTAGACTGACTCTCCTCGTATCACAGCAGCCCCACGTCGACTCTGTGAATACAGACACGTCATCAGTACACTGGGACACTAGGAAACAACACTTACGTATGCTGACATAGACATACAACTGTTTCTTCAATAGATGGCGCTGATTTTCTAAGCACCACCTCACTAGAGGTCAGGACCAGCTACCTCACGAGCTACTAGGACAGGAATCTAGCATTTCTGGCTGGTATAGTCCTATCACTACTAGATGGCGTCGTCCAAGTTGTGTGGGTTTCGGGAGCGGACTCACAGTTGGCGTTGATGTCGCTGCTCCATGCTCTGACGATGGACTTGGGATCGTAACATGTGTCCAAACGGCTCTGTCCGTACTACTTAATTAACTCCATGTAACCTACCTTACTCCCTAAAAGTCAACCCATGTCTTGCTATTTTTTTTTTTAAATGCTGTTTATTCACCAACGTGTACAATTGCTGATTTCTGCTATGTTACCCCCTTTTTTTATTCCTTCTTTATACCTAATCCCGATTACTATTAAGTTTTAGTCTAAGTGCTTTTCCCCCACACCTTGCCCGAAATGCTATGAGTATTAGTGGCTTTAGGTATTGTATGTACTGTACTAGCTCTGTCTATAAATCCAACATTATGTTTGTAAATCAACTGAATGTACTTTTCCTGAATAAAATTTATTTATTATTATTTATTTATTAGTCAGTAAGTAAGTATTAAAAGAAGGCACCAAGCTGGGAAGGCTATGTAGCACCATTGTGTGTAACAGTAAACCAATTTTTTTTAACAAATAATGCACCTGTATGGTAAAACAAATCCTGTCAGCTGTAAAAATATTGATGTAGTTATTTAAATAAAAAATATAATGAAAGAAATATTACTGGTTTATTTTTATCCTATCTTTTTGTACTGTACAGTATATCCAAGGAAGTGAAAAATTGAGACATAATGCACAATTTAATGAATGATTCAAAGTTGATTAGCATCGATTAGCAGTTCAAAAGATATATGACTATTACATATCAACATGAGATCTTAATGATCCATGGTTAACATGATTTAATAAGGATAATACAATACTTGTAATAATACAAACTATAATTTAAAATTTTTATTACTGATTTTTTTTATTAAGAAGCTTAGGTATACACAGCAATGTGCTGCTACCCTATTCTATATGGAATATTACACAGTGTAGATAAAAAATTAGCTGAAAGTTTATCTAATACTCCCATCTCACAGGATGGTTAGGCATACCAGCCTCAATACAAAAAACAAATCAACTCTGACTAAACAACTCTTCGCGATTTTCACAAGAGGTAAGC